TCAGTGCTAGGGAATCATGGGAACTGTAATTTATTGTGGCACCAGAGCTCTCTAACAGTGAAGGCTCAATGTCTCAGAAAAAAATACAGTTCTCATGACTCCCTAGCACTGAGCCAGGGCAGTGCCTCAATTTAATGTGCACTATTTCTGGCAGTCTGCTTAGGCCTTTAAAAAGGACTCACTTCCAGTGTCTGTTTCCAGAGCCTGGACCCATTTTGAAAGATGCTGCTGTGACATTAGAGCACATGTGACATTAGAGCACAGCTTAATGGAAGTATCCCACCACAATCTACTGTGAGTGTATGTGTACTTGCCTTCGGGTTGCCCATTGATTTATGGGGACTCCATGAATTACATAGTGTTCTAGACAAGGAATACTCAGGTGGTTTTGCCTGTTTCTTCCTCTGAAATATAGCCTACAGCATCTGCTATTCATTGCCAGCCTCCCATCCAAGTACTAACCAAGGTAGACCTTGCTTAGCTTCCAAAATCAGATGGTGCTTTTGGGGTATTTATGCCCTCTCTACTGCAGCAGCTGTTCAAAGTCTGTAGCACATGTCTTCCTAGAACTTTGATAGCAAGTGCTGGGGAAAAAAACATGTGCTGCAGAGGTTACCAGCCACCGCTGAAAGCATATGAAGCATGTACTGTATATACACTAAACTTCTCTGAAACATGTTAAATAACAATCAAAATAAAAATGCCTCTGACTTCTTTTTAGGAGAACTCCCAGCATAGCCAGGGTAGCTATAATCAAAAAAGGAAAAAGGAAGAGGAGGAAAAGAGAGAAGGAAGAAGGAAGGAAGGAATTTTCCCAAGCCTTGTTCTGAACCTATTACTATTCCTGAACATATTACTACGAGTTCGTCCCCATGAATTTTGAAGCTTGTGGGACACAACACTAAGCATATCTCTTTGTTTAGCTGACAAATATCTCTTATTATTACTGGTAATAATGAGAAGAGCAATAGTGGTATATTTTTGGGGTAGTGGAGTTAGGAGGAGAAGTTGAAATATCATTAAATCTCCTTTAATTATTCTCAAGCATGACTGACTCTATGAAAAATGTATTGTTCCATTCCAAAGGGAGGGAAGGAAAGTCCTCTCTAATTCTCTAACAGAATAAAAAATGGCCTGTCTGAAACATTCCTATTTTTATCTCCTTTTTATTTCATTTGCTTGAATGTGATCATTTCTTTGGGGCTGGTATAGAGTAGGAAAAAGAGGCTCAACAGAAGACTTGTCCACTATGACCTCCTGTCCTGCATCATCTGCACGTTACCCAGGTATGAGCTCCAACAAAAGCTGTCTAGAAATGTACATCCAAAATTTATTTTTAGGTAATGTTTCTAGTTCTTTTGGAACAAATCATGATGATGATGATGATGATTATTATGATGATGATCTAAAGATAGTGGAGGGAAGTGAAGGAAGGAAAAGATGAGTTGAGGTGGTACTTTTGTGAGATAATTATCCTTCTCTTGTGGTGCTGAGGAACTCTTTCCACATAATTTTTGTTAATTAAAAAGTCTTATAAAACCACCAATGTATTTCCTGTTTCTCCTTGCAGAGAGCTAACTGGTAAAACTGTCACTGGGAGAAATGGGAGGAGGAGCACAAAACAATGCATTTTTCTTAAGGCAAGGGAACAAATAAGTGTATTGCTATCCCTTTTCCCTATGGAGTGCACCTGAGAGAGTATTAGAAAACAGAAAGGAATTTAATTCACTAAGAATTTAAAATGAATATATTTCTGTTCACACTTTAATCCTCAAACATTCACTCACACATCCTACCATGAAACAGCACAACTCAGAAGCTAACAAATGTTTAGCAAATTATTTAGTGCTATTGCCTCATCTAGGTGTCCAAGGATCCCAACTACAGCACACTTAAAATATGATGCTCCAGTAGAAGGGTTAAATTTCACCAATTAATAGGAACCCTCAGGCTATGACCAAGCTGCTAAGATGATGCCACAACACCTCCGCTCCTTGGTCTCCCCCAGGCTGAATTATATTAGAGTTTGTTCCCAATTTAATGATTATCTTTCCAAAGAAGCATTGCTTTTCTAAGCAAGGGCATTCTGAGCAATACATAGCTTATTTTAGCCTGGGGTGAAACTGAAGGTAGTAAGAAGTGGGAAAGCACAAGAATATCATTCAGATTGTGATATGATTCCTCCCCAACACCACTACTGCCAAGTGTTGGGGGAATTCTTGGAGCAAATATGGAGCCAAGACTGTGGGCAGCAAAGATATGACAACGGCACAAGAACTGTTGCCCAATTTCCATCCAGCAAACCATCTCAGACCATAGAATTGTACTCTTTACCTGGAATCCTGTTGGTGTCTTTTGCATGTGTAAATTACCCTACAGAAGTGGTTGGACAAGTGGTTGGAAATCTCAGGGCCTGAGATTGGGGGGTTGCAGATTGCCAGAAATAGTGTAAATTGAGTCCACTTTTAGGGTTAGGGCTAGGGTTAGGGAATCATGGGCACTGTATTTTATTGTGGCACCAGAGCTCTCTGACAAAGAAGGCTCAATGTCACAGAAAAAAAAACAATTCCCATGATTCCCCAGCACTAACCCTAACCCTAAAAGTGGACTCAATTTGCACTATTTCTGGCAGTCTGCAACCCCCCATAGTCTCTATCTGGCAACTCAATATCTCACCATTGGTGATACTGACTAAGGCTGCTGGAACACGTGGTCCAATAATTTCTGGAAGGCAGCATGAGTCCCACCTTTGTCTCAGGCGCATGCAAGTGTGGATTGGACTAACAGCCAGATCCCTGAATACTCTCTTCTATACAGTCAACTGTACTCAAACAATTTGGAGTATCAACCCCTCTTCAGTTCTCTCTTTCCCCTGCTTTTAAGGCTAGTCTTTCCATTGGCTGATATCCTACACTACTATTTTTCATGGTGATTATTTCTGACAGGGTGCTAATCATAAGCGGCTGTTCTTCCATTCACACAATGTTTCACACTTGAACAGACCAACTTATCTCTTTCAGCGCTTGAAAAGAGATGTTCAAGATTGTCTCTGCAGAACAGAGAATATAATTAAGAGTAATGGGTCCTTGAGAACAACCCAGTAAGTGTCCATGTTGGGTGAAAGATTGCCTTCCTTTCCTGAGACAAAAAGAGGCATTTGTAATTCACAACTTACTCCTTTAAAGAATATCTTGGGACAAAGGGAGAAAAGACACCTGGGAGGAAGATAAGATGATCCTGAACTGCATTAAGACATTATGCCATTTTTCTGCTGAAAAACAGACACACAACTACTTGCTGAAAATACTGGCCAAGATCCTACATCACAGTGTACATTTCATAATTTTATGAATCTGTAAGTACCGTATGTTGCAGAAACACAATGAAACCCTGCTAATGAATTGCAAAAATGCATGTCTGGGCACTGGCAAGAGTGCTCCAATGTGCATCAGGCACTTCTGATGTGCATTAGGCACACCTGTTGTGCTCCAGCACTCCCTAGTCTATGGACGTTATCACACGGGGGAAATCTGCTGGTTAATCCACA